CGCAAGGCCGGCACTCCCCGCGTTCCCCCTGGGCGGCCGCGCCTCCTCCCCCTCGGGCGCGCCGGCGCCCGCCCCCGACGCGGGCGCGTGACCCAGACGACAACAACGACGGCGACGGCGAGGACGACGGCGACGGAAGGAGGGAAGGGAGGGGGGGGAGGAGAGGAGGGGGGGGGGCAACAAAAAAAACATGCTGGATTTAAAAAGGTTTGTTTCCCCACTCCTTCTTTTTTCTTCCCCCCCGCAGGTCGCAAACCCTCCCCCTGGTCACGAACATGACTGTGCGAGGGGTCGCACAAACGAAATCGTGACCAAACGGCGCCCCCCCCTCTCTCAGGCCCCTCCCCCCGAAGCCCCAAACGCATTCCTGGTCACGCCCCACCGGCGCACGAGAAAACAGGAAACGGAAACGTAAACGATTCAGACAGAGCTCCCCCCCAAGAGAAAAAATCGAACGACACACCCACAATAAAACGAAAATGAACAGCAAAACGAAAAGTCTCAAAAACGCAGGGGTGGGATTCGGCCCCGTAACCCCCAAACTGGCCCCAAGAGCACACAAGAGCGCTAAGAGACGATCTTAGGAGCTGCAGGGGGGGGAGGGGAGAAGCTAATCAAGACTTCCCCCTTCTTTGATCGAGCACCTCCAAGATGGCCTCAAGATGGCCCCCGAGGCTCCCAAGAGTGCCCCAAGAGGGCCCCCAAAGGCGCTGAGGAGGCCCCGACAGGCACCCAAGAGGCTAGCAAGAGACCCCCAAGAGGCCACAAGAGGCCTCCCCAAGGCACCCAAGACGCTCCAACAGGCCTCCAGGCCCGCCAAGAGGCCCCCAAGACGCCCCACGTGTACTCCAAGAAACTCCCAAGAGACATCCGAAGAGACTGCGAGAGGCATCCAAGAGGCCCCTGGCCTTTCTGCTCTCCGTCCCCCTTCTCCTCGTCCTCGTCCTCGTCCTCCTTCTCCTCCTCCTCCTCGGCATATTCCTCCTCCTCATCCCTCCTCACTCACCCCACTCCCCCTCCCCCTCCCCCTCCCCCTCCTCCTCCTCCTCCTCCTCCTCCTCCTCCTCCTCCTCCTCCTCCTCCTCCTCCTCCTTCGATTCCTCCTCCATCCTCCACCTCTTGGGGTATGACGGCTTCCCCAGCCTTTCGTCCACGCATGCTCCTCCACATCCCTGTTCAGCGCAACTCCCCTCGGCATCGTTTCTGGATTGGCTGGTGGGGTCACGCAAAGCGTTTAGATTCGCTGTAGCCTGCAATTGCGCAAGCAGAAAAACAAGCGGGCGCGATTTCGAATGGCGCGAAGATGTCGGCTAAAATGCTCGGGCCAGCACCGTCACACAAAACAACCTCGCAACGCCCAACAATTGCCATCCGGATCACTTGGACCGCGAAGATCCCAAACGAGCGCGAGCCGCTGAAGACGCGAACACATTGGAACCCCAGCAATTGGAACCTGAGGCCGCTGGCCTGTGGCGCCGTACACACACGCTTGAGCAAGCGCCCCTTTTCGTAAGATGCCAGTATTCGCATTCGCCCAATACACGCACACGCGACGCCACCTCCACGCGAAGCATCGCTATGTCGGCGCGCCCTTCTCCGTGAAATCCCACCAGCGTTCTGGGTGCACGCGGCGCGTCGGCTTCGTCACTCCAGCCACCAATTTCCCCTTCGGTAGTCTGAGGTTTGACAGGGCGGGGCGCGATCGCCGAGGGCGTCAAAGGTCGCCCAGGATGACCACAAAATGGTTCCGATATGGCCACGGCAATCTCTCGACGGCTTGCAATATACTCCAGTTCAAGCCGGCTTAAGACGACATCCAGCCGTTCTGCATGAGGCCCCGCAGCGGGTTGTATCAATGATGATGTTGAGAGGCCGGACATCTCTCAAGAGCCTCAAAAGTCGCAGTGGTGTCCGTCGTCTCGCAGTGTCGCCTCCGACGTGCTTGCAGGACCTCGTGATGGCCTCAGGATCGCCACGGAGAGCTCACAGAGGGGCCTGGAGGTGCTTGGCATGCGGCGTCAAGAGCGCCTGGGAATGACCCTGGAGCTCCCCGAAGCGGGTCCCAAGAAGTTGGCAGTCGGTCTCTGACGGAGCGGCGCTACTCAAGCGCGCCCTCTTCTTTAATCAATGTCTTCTTAATTACATGCTCCCCAGAGGGCCCTCCAAGCACCCATGAGGGCCCTGACTCGGCGATACATCGCCGATAGATCGGCGATAGGCCCACGATTGCCAAACCGCATCTGGGCGGGGTGGGCTATCGGGCCGCTATCGGCGGTCAGTGCGCGATTGGGGGTCGATGCGTTGCCCCTTGAGCCTACGGTTACGAACTTCGGCTCAGCGTGTCGCTCCGCTGGCTCTGGCATACCACGCCTCAGAGCGACACACTATCCACCTCCCAGGCCCCAAGCGTCCACCTCCCGCGCATTTCCCAGCCTCCCGCCCCGCGGAGCGGAGCGATACGCCATCCGCGCGCAGGGCACAGCGCGTCGCGGTGGCCGCCGCCGCGACACGCCGACCAAAAGTTCCTGGCCGCACCCGCCCCAAGCGTTGCCCCTGACCGCCTCCTCGCGTCTCGCCCTCCCTGCCCGACCGCTCTAGTCCCCGGCCCAGGCCTGCGCCGATGCCAGGGACAGGCGGAGGCCGAGGGGCGGGAAGGGGAGCATCTTCGGGGAGAAGTAGGGCGGCTCGAAGTCGCTGGTGCTGAACCCGAAGGACAGGGCGATGCGCGGCCCGCCGGCGTGAGACGCCCTGCCCGTGTTGCCCCAGTGGATCGTCCTGGCCCGACGACGACGACGACGACGACGCCCGCGGAGGAGTGAGAGTAGGGCAGGTTCATGTCGTGACGGCGCCGCCGTTGGTTTCTGACACCGCGTGGACCGTTCAGTCTGGAACAATCGGCAGTTTTCTGTTTCGCCGGCTCATTCCATGTGTCCGGCTGCCAGGTCTCAGCAAGCATTGCGAGAATGTGATTATGCTTCTGGGCCACTGGTGGCGTTCAACCTTGAGCGCACGCGGCGGGGCCACTGCCGCGTAGACACGACACGAACCTACCGAGACGGGGAGGCATGGCGTCCCCAATCCCCGACTTCTGCGGGGTGTTCGCCAGGACGCGAAACTTCGGTGCCCAACTCGGGCATATACGAGGGGGGGCGTCCGTCCTCGAAAGGGGTGCGTCCGAAGAGGCCCCCAGGGGGGTGCCCCCGAGTTCCCCCTCGCTTCCAGTCGGCCTGACGTTCGAGGGGGAACTCGGGGATCAGGGGCGAGGAATCGCCTGCGAAAGACGGTACCGAGACCATGCTACTGCCCAGACCTCTCCCAGCGTGCGTATTGACCAAGATTCTGAAGCAAACCCAGCTGTGGAGACGACGGGAGGGCACCGGCATCGGCATAACACCTCTGCCTGCCCTCACCTGTTGCACCAGTGGAAAGGTCCTGTGCGTGTGGAAGGTGCAGCCCCCGGCACTCACGGGCGCGCAGCGGATCTCCTGGAAGGCGGCGTTCTTGGAGAAGCACCGCTGCATGGGCTCGCCCTCGTCGGGGTCCCCGTCCAGATCCGCCGCCGTGCCCCCCCGACACGACGAGGCACGACGGGATGCCAAACGGCTGTCCGGCAGGGCTTCCGTAAAAATCTTCTGAGGGCCCCCCAGGCTGCGGAGTGCACCGCCCCCCCCCATCCTCGCGAAGCTCCCTGGGCGACTCGACGGCTCCGCGGCGCTCTGCAGGGCCTTCACAGGGTCGGGGAGGGCCATCAAGGCCGCCAAGGTGACCCAACGCTGCCTCCACCAGAGGCACCCCACAGCTCCCATGAAGCACTGGGATACATGATCCAGAGTTGCCCTCCCCCCGCCCGTCCACCCAAATGCATATGGGATCGAGCCTCCCCCCCGCTGGATGGGTACGCTCGTGAGCCTCGCGAAGGCCTCGCGAATGGGATCGCCCATCCCCCCCCCGTGGTCGTGGCCCAGGCCCTGTGGGCGTGGCGTGTTGGAGGGTGCCAGTGGGTGTGGGCTGATTCGTCGTCGTCGTCATCGTCGTCGTCGTGGTCGTCGTCGTCATAGTCGTCGTCGTTGTGGTCGTCGTCGTCGTCGTTGTCGTCGTCGTCGCCGTCCGTCGTCATAGTCGTCCGTCGACTTCGGCGGCATCGTCGTCGTCGTCATCGGCATTGTCGTTGTCGTCGTCGCCGTCGTCGTCGCTCGTCGTCGTCGGCGGCGGTGTCGGCGTCGACGTCGACGTTGTCGTCGTCGTCGTCGTCGGCATCGACGTCGACGTCGTCGGCGACGGCGGCGGCGTCGGCGTCGCCGTCGCCGTCGGCGTCGGCGTCGGCGTCGTCGTCCCCCCCCATCCCATCAGGGAGGGCGGGGGACTGTGGAACCCTGGAGTCCATCTCATCTGGGGGGGGCTCCGTGATCCCTCGGTCGGGGATCATACTCCCCAAGAGGCCTCAAAGAGGCCCCAAGACCACCCCGCTAAGACGCTCTCCAGGAGGTCTCGGGAGGCCAAAAAACAATGATGTCCCTAATGCATTTCAATGTTCTTTGCTTTCCACACTCTTCGGTCCGAATTTCCGTCCACTTTCGACAGCCCAATGGTGCGCACTCAGAGCCCCAAGAGACCCCCCAAGGCTGCCCAGGACGGGCCCAAGAGAGCCCCAAGCTAGCCCAAGAGGGCCTTCAACGTGACCGTAGGTGGCCTAAGAGGACCCCCGGGCGGCCGAAGTTACACCTCCAAGATGGTCCCGAGAGACCCCCCAGACGGCAAAGAGGACCCCGAGATGGTCCACGAAGGCCCCAAGACGACCCAAGAGGTCCCAAAGACGGACACGGGCCCGAAAGACTGCTCTGCAGGTGCCCCGGACAGCCCCCAGCCGGCCCAAAGACGCCACACGAGAGCTCCTCGAGGCGTCGGGGCGAGAGGTGCCACGTGCGACGGCCTCCTGGGCGGTGGTCGGAGGGCTGCAACGCACAGTGCTCTGCTGGCACGGCGGCGGACCCGTCGCAGACATCTGGATACCCAGGGTCGCAGGACCGCGGCACGAAGTGCAGGCACGAGTTGTCGGGCGTCGCGTCCGTCAGCGCCGCCCACAGGGTCACGTACTTCGCCATCCCGTCAGCCTTGAACGTGCCGGACACGGGCGCGGGAACACCTTCGGGGACACGCTGGCGCGTGCCAGCGCGGGGCCAGGCCAGCCAGGGCCACGCCGTGAACCCCGGCCAGCCGCGGCGCAGCCCCCAACACCTGGGTCGGCTCCCCGCGTGGATCAGAAGCCTGGATCGGCCAGAGGGGATCGGAGTGGATTTGCTGACCCCCCGTTGGTGTTGACCCCCGCTAGCCTGAGATCCGACGTCACGAACAAATGAAACGTCCTGCATCAATCCTGATTCTGAGCCCTGCAGACCACACCTTCCTGCGGCACTCCTCGATGCCAAACCGACCTGCGTGGGTCCCAGGGCCTGGAAAGCGGGGCGAAAACAAACTGAGCGAACAAGTCCAGCGCCAGGATCTCAATCTAACGCGGTGACCCTCCTGCTCAGTTTCCTCCTCCTCCTCCTCCTCCTCCTCCTCCTCCTTTCCCTCCTCTGCTACCTCCTCCTCCTCCTTCTCTTCCTCTTCTTCCTCCTCCTCCTCCTCCTCCTCCTCCGCCACTCCCACCTCCTTCTCCTCCTCCTCCACCTCCTCCTCCTGCTCCTCATCCTCCTCATTTCCCTCCTCTGCTACCTCCTCCTCCTCCCTCCCTCCTCCTCCTCCTCCTCCTCCTCCTCCTCATGCTTGTCCGCCTCCTGTCTCCCTCCTCCTCCTCCTCCGCCATCCCAGCTCCTCCTCCTCCTCCTCTCCTCCTCCTCCTCCTCCTCCTCCACTCCTCCTCCTCCTCCTCATCATCATCCTCCCTACCCTCCTCTTCTACCTCCTCCTCCTTCCTCCTCCTCCTCCTCCTTGTCCTCCTCCTCCTCCTGCGTGTCCGCCTCTTGTCTCCCTCCTCCTCCTCCACCACTATTCACTCCTCCTCTTCCTCCTCTTCTTCCTCCTCATCCTCCTCCTGTCGCTCCTTTTCTACCTTCTTCTTCTCTTCCTCCACCTCCTCCTCCTCGTCCTCTTCCTCCTCCTCCTCTCCTCCTCCCCTCCCTCCTCCTCCGTTCCCTCCTCTTCTACCTCCTCCTCCTCCTCCTCCTTTTCCTTCTCCTCCTCCTTGCCGCCTCCTGTCACTCCTGCTCCTCTTCCTCCTTCTCCTCCTCCTGGTCCTTCTTCTCTCCTCCTCCTCTCCTCCTCTTCTTCCTCCTTCCTCCTCCTCCTCCTCCTCCTCCTCTTCCTCTCCCTCTTCTTCGTCCTCCACCTCCGCCATTCCCTCCTCCTCCTCCTCCTCCTCCTCCTCCTCCTCCTCCTCCTCCCACCTCCTCCTCCTCCTCCTTTCCCTCCTCTTCTACCTCCTCCTCCTCCTCCTCCTCCTCCTCCTCCCTCCTTTCCTCCTCTTCTGCCGCCTCCTCCTTCTCCTCCTCCTCCCTCCTGCTTGTCAGCCTCCTCCTCCTCCTCCTCTCTGCTTCTGTTCCTCCTCCTCCTCCTCCTCCTCCGCCATTTTCTCCTCCTTCTCCTCCTCCCTCCTCTCCTCCTCCTCCTCCTCCACCTCCTCCTCCTCGTCCTCCTCCCCCTCTCCCTCCTCTTCTACCTCCTCCTCCTTCTCCTCCTTCTCCTCCTCCTCTTCTTCCTCCTGTTTGTCCGCCTCCTGTCTCCCTTCTCACCCTCCTCCTCCGCCATTCCCTCTTCCTCCTCCTGTTTCTCCTCCTCCTCCTCCTCCAACTCCTCCTCCCCCTCTTCCTCCTCCTCCTCCTCCTCCTCTTCCTCCGCTCCTCCTCCGACCTCTCCTGCCACCTCCAACGACGACGACGACCTCGGGGCGTCCAGTCCTCCGGCTGGCGGTCCCGGTGGGGCGAGAAGCCCTTGGTGCGCCGCGGGTCCACGTGGAAGCCCACGATGTCCAGGCAAGGGGCGTTGCCCGTAGCCTCCGCCATTAGCCGCGCGGCGTCCGCGCCCATGGCCCAGGCCTTCCGTAGGAATCGCGCAGGTGTGCAGGTTAACCTCCCTCCGCCCGCCCTCTCCTCCTCCCCCTCCTTCTCCTCCTTCTCCTCCTCCTCCTAATCCTCTTCCTCCTCTTCCTTCTCCTCTTCCTCCACCTCCTCCTCCTCCTCCTCCTCCTCCTCCTCCTCCTCGTCATCATCATCAGCAGCAGCATCAGCAGCAGCAGCAGCATCATCAGCATCATCGCCAGCATCATCATCATCAGCATCATCACCATCATCATCAGCATCAGTATGAGCATCAGCATCAGCATCAACATCATCAGCATCATCAGCATCATCATCATCACCATTACCCTCCTCATCCTCAACCTCATCCTCATCATCATCAGCATCAGCAGCATCATCATCAGCATCATCAGATCCATCATCATCATCACATCATCATCACCACCACACCACCACCACCACCACCACCATCATCATCATCATCATCATCATCATCATCATCATCATCATCATCATCATCATCATCATCATCATCATCATCATCATCATCATCATCATCATCATCATCATCATCATCATCCTCATCCTCATCCTCATCCTCATCCTCATCATCATCCTCATCATCATCATCATCATCAGCATCATCATCCTCATCCTCATCCTCATCCTCATCCTCCTCCTCCTCCTCATCATCATCATCATCGTCATCATCATCAGCATCATCAGCAGCAGCAGCATCCCTCCTCCCTCCTCCTCCTCCTCCTCCTCCCCCTCCCTCCCTGCCTCCTCCCTGCCTCCTCCACCACCTCCTCCTCCTCCTCCTCCTCCTCTTCCTCCTCCTCCTCCTCCCTCACTCCCTCCTTCCCTCCCTCCCTGCCTCCCTCTCTCCCTCCCTCCCTCCTCCCGCCCTCCTCCTACCCCTCCTCCTCCTCTTCCTTCTCCTTCTCTTCCTCCTCCTCCTCCTCCTCCTCCTCCTCCTCCTCCTCCTCCTCCTCATGCTCGCTCCATCCTCCTCCCTCCCTCTTCCGCCCTCCTCCTTGTCCTCCTCCTTTTTCTGATTGCCATTCTTCTGAGGTGAAATAGAGACCACCCCCACAGAGAACCCATCGGGGCGGCCCACCTCTGGCCGGTGGCACGCTTTAGCGTCATGCGGTACTGGGTAACACTTGAGCGTGCCATCGCCCCCCCCGATGGGTTCGTGGTGGCGGTGGTCCCTGTTCCTCCTTCCATTTCCGGGACAGGGAGGCGGAGGAACACGCTGGATCTGTACAGTTGCAATCCGATTCTTGGGGGGAAAAGGAGGCACCGATGCCGCTGGGCCACGGTGGAGCCCCTCGGGGAACGCAAGGGGCGCGCCTTTCCCGAGGTCCGGGCAACGCCGCCTTGCCACTCCTGGCTTCTTCACCCCTTCGTGAGGGGGGGCCCTCGCAGATCGACCCGGCCCGAGGGACGTCGCGGAGAGGCGGGGTCGAAGGCCTCGGCCGTGATCCCCGAAAATGCTGCGATCTCCGCGGGGTCGGATCTCAGGGCTCAGCGCACTTCACCTTGCCAGCTGGCTCCTGGCTCCCGCTGTGCGGCACCAGCGGAGCGCGGATGCCGACACCTCCTTACCCCCCCGGGCCTCTCAGGGGTGCGCTCCGGCCGGGAGTTCCAGGAGCGATACCACGCCAGAGGGTGCCGAAAGGGCCCCCAGGAGGCCCAGCAGAGAGGGCGAAGGGCGGAGGAGGGGCAGCCGGCATTGGCATGCTCTTCTCCTTCGAGACTGGACTCCTTTGCGGCCGTAGGAAGCAACGGCAATCGCCAGGCCCCAGGACCGCCAACAGAGCTCTGGAAGAGAAAACGGTTCCAGGAAAGGGGTCGAAAACTCTGGGGGTCGACGTTGCGAAAAGATCCTTACGTCGGGGGTCTGGGTCCGTCTCATCTCTAACCGGCGATTTCTCTCCCCGAATCGGGGTCTGAGAGAGCCTCGTCGTACATCAGAAGGAAGGTGGCAGGCCACCCGAAGCTCTCCAGCGCCACCGCGCCCCTGGCGAGCGCCTCGGAGCACGCGGACCACGACGACGACGACGGAGGACGACAACGTCGACGACGGCGACGAACGACGACGGCGGACGGCGGACGGCGGACGACGACAACGACGACGATTGAGGCGGAGGCAACGGCGGCAACCCCCCGACCTCTCGCGGTAACTGGACCGCGCTCTGGAGGGGCGGACAGCCCAAAGGGGCACCAGACGCTTCCAGGGGCTACGACCGCCCATGCCGCCTTCCACGAGGCTCCCCAGCGGCACACCCCTTGGCGCTACCCGCCCCTTCTGCATCCGCCAGCTCGCCCACGCAGCCAGAGACAGCACTCAAAGAAACCCAGCTCCCTGGAGGATAAATGTCCTCCCGCGCCGCGCAAACGATGCGTCGTCGCGCAAGGGCCGCGGCCGACGCGCGCGCGGGGGGGCCCAAGCGGGCCAGGCGCACGAACGCGCGCGCGGGCCTGCGCGCCCGAGGGCACGATCAGCGCCGCAGACTTCACATTGAGGAAGAGGGCGGAGAAAAGGGCGGGGGGCCGAGATGCCGCAGAAGACCGAGCCGCGCGTGAAGACGGAAGGGTAAGAGAGAGAGCATCCTCCTTCGCCGCGCAGGCGATGGGTCTTCGCGCGGAGGCCGCGGCCGACGCGCGCGCGGGGGGCCCGAGGCGCCCGGGCCCCTGAACGCTCGCGCGGGCCGAGCGGCGCCGCTCAGGAGGAGGGGATTCCCTGCGTGCCGAAGGGCGCGATCGATAATGCCCATGCTCAAAGCCCTTGCGCAGTGACAACGCTTTGGCGGGCGGCCGAAACTTGGGTGGACCACGCAGATGATGGGCCCACAGAAAGAAAAGAAGCGACAAGGCGGTCGCTAGAGGCAGCATACTACGCAATACGCGCGCGAACTACAGCAGGAAGGGCGGGCAAAACAAACGAAGCGGCGGCGGCCTGGAGACAGCGCTCAGTGCTTGAGGCCTGGCGCCAAAGGCCGCGCCAGAAGACGCAAGGGACGTCTTCCGCGGCCAGATAGAATTCTGTAGCTTTACAACCTCGCAAACAGGCTTAGAACCTCGCAACCAGGCACGCGCGAGGTTAAGCCCGCAGGCCGCGCCGGACAACGGGACGCCCGTAGCCGAAAGTGAATGTTTCCACCGAGTACGGGAGCCGCTCTGCCCGAAGGGCGAAAGCGGATCGGCGAAACACAAATGCTGGAACACCAGTTCCAGGAGCCTCACCGACGACCCATCGAAGCAGCGGGCGTACTGCGTCGTATACGCACGGCGAATATTCGGCGCCTCCATGACAGGTAAATCATCATCGCTGACTTCCAACCTATCGCTAGGCCGCGACAGGTCACAACGGCGGGCGATTAGCAGTTCGCCAGGGCGGAGACACATGGTGCAACCCATCAGCAAGAAGGCTGCCATGAGAGACCAATCCCAAAGCAAGCCGAGGCCAACCATCGCCCGCAGGAAGGCGTGGGGCAGCGGCGGGCGATGCGCGAAGGGCTCGGCAACTACCCACTGGCCGGCCACATCCCAAGCTTCCGAAAGGAAAGCACGCCAGCGTGGGCGCTCAGCCTGGATGCCCAGAATGGCACGCACAAGGATCTGGCGCGGAAAACCCGCGTCGCGAAGCCACGCGCCGGATGTGGAGAGAAGCCGCGAGAGCAGAAGCCCGCCGCGGTAACGCGCGGCCGGAGTGATGCGCGAACGCCCCGAGCCCGAGCTCAAAGCTCAGAGGCGTCGACAGCATCCAGGCGCCCATCAATGCAAGGAAGGGCAGGGTGACAATCACGCGCAAAAGAAATGCGAGGGGCGCGAGACCGGGCAAAACTAAGCCCCAGGTTCGTCCCCGCAAGACGGATGGCCGCCGCCGCGGCGGTGCCGGCGGCTGCAAACGCGGCGGCTGCTTGCGCGGCGCAGAGGCTGCGCGCGCGCGCGCCGCAGGTCCGGCCCGTTCGCGACGGCGGCATGCTTCGTCACCGCCGCACGACTGCGCGAGTCGAACTCGTCCCGCCCCCGCCCGGAGGCGAATCACGGGGGGGGGGGGGGCGAGCCTCGCGCCCGTCGAACTCGATCCCCGAGTTGACGGCGACGTCCTCGCGCGCCCCTGCAAGGTGACGCCGGCGCTGAGGGCGGCGCGGCGCGCGGAGGCCTCCACCTCCGACGGCAGCGCGTCTCAGGTCTCGGCACGGGAGAGTCGCAAGAGCTTGCGACGTCTCGCGGCGCCGCGCTGGGGGGGCAGGCCCGCGGGCGACTCCACCGAGACCGCGCGCTCGCAGGCGCGACGCAGCTCGGGGGGCTCACCGCGCGGGCCCCAGTCCGCGGCGGGGAACGTGGCGCCGTCCAGACTGGAATGCCAGAGGCAGTCCAGCACGGCGGCGATCGTTGCAGCCCGTCGGCACCAGGTAGTGTCGATCCCCAGCCCGAGTTTCTGCGTGGCCCTCGGAATGAAGGAATCAACGGTCAAGTGGCCGACGGGGACAACGGCGCTCGCGGCGAGCAGCTCGTCGCCGCTCCGCGCGGGGCACGCGCCGCCCGTCTTGAACACACGGCGGCAATGCAGAAGGGCGCAGTAGAGGCAGGGCAGCACGGCCGAGCTGTCTGCCTCCTTGGCCCGTCTGGCGCAGACCATCGGAGCTGCGACGTGGCACTCGGGAACGCGTCGCCCCGGCCGGGCAACCAGCGGATGACGGTCACAGAGGCTCCGAGCCTCGCCAGCCACTTCCTGTCGCCACCCCAGCGCGCCCGCCGCGCCCGACGGTTGCACCCACACCGCCGACGAAGCCTCGGGCGGACCGCTGGACGCGCGAGCCGGCGGCGCGAGCCCAGGCCGCCGGGGAGGCGGCGACCGGGGCCGGGCCCGCAGCCGCGGGGCGGCGTCTGGGGCGGGCGCGGAGGCGGGCGTCCCCAGAGTCAACCGACTGAGCGCGAGCGCCGCGCGTTGCGCCAGAGCGCGCGCGCGCGCGCGGCGCGCTTCAGCCGCCAAGGCCCCCGAGACCTGCCCGACGCCAGCGCAGGGAGAGGCTCGAGCGCGGGGGCCGGAGGGCACGGCCAGGGGTCGCGGGGGAAGTACTCCTCGGAAGCAGGAGCGCCCCTAACCGGCGAGCGGAGCGAGTGGCGGTGAAGAGAGGCCAGGGGACAACGAGCACCCTGCCCGACTTCGGCCAATGCAACGGCTGCTCGCGCCTGGGAACAAACGCAGCCAGGCAGAAAGGTCAGCGACGAAAGCCGCGACCGTAGCAGCAGCATGAGGCGCAGCCCCGTCGCTGGACGGCAACCCAGCACCCGAGCCGCTAGAGCAAGGGGGGCCCGAGGGCCCAGACGGAGCCAGGGGGGGGGCCAGAAGCGGAGCGAGAGTCACCACCGCTGAACGCGCATCTCCCTGCAGGGCCGCAACAGCATCGCCGGAGTAGCACATTCCTAGGGTCGCGACCGCGCTCAGCCCAGGCACGCTTAGCAGCCGCGACGTCGTCGAATTGATCGACTCGTCTCGACTCCTCCCCTCGGCAACCGTGCGCAAAATGCGCCTGCCCCCCCGCCCCATCAGGCCCTGCTGGCAATTTCTTTTTTGGGGGGGGGAGTTAAGGGGGCTTGCCCCCCTGGGCCCCTGGATGGGCAGCATGGCGGGGAGGGCGCGACGCCTGCTGTGACGGCCCTGACCGCTGGAGGGACTCGGAGGTGCTGCTCGGACGAAGCCCTCTCGGCGAAGCGGCCGACCCCGTCGGGCCTGAGAAGCCCCGCGGGAGCACGGATCGGCGGCGGGACCAACGGTGGCGGGAGCGAAGTGCGCGCGTTCCCAGGCCTGCCCTTGCTCCAAGCCGCCGCTGGAGCCGACGCCGGCTGCGGAGGAGGAGGAGGAGGAGGAGGAGGAGGAGGAGGAGGAGGAGGAGGAGGAGGCGACTGGGCGACCATCGCCGGAAGGTCGCCCCTGGGGATGCGCACGCGCGCCGCCTCGTCGGCGAACAGCGCCGGCGGCTCGGGGCGGGCTCGGCGCGGGTGGGCATGAGCCCCTGGGGGGGGGGGGGCCGCAGCCTGGGCCGCATTCGCAGCCAGCAGGCGTTGGGCATCCCACTGGAGGTCTGCGCGAGCCCACGGCGCTCCCACGTCCAGGGCCGCAGCGACGGCCCCGCCCGCCCGTGGGCGGGCCACGGCAATCTGAGCCCGGCGGGAGCGCGGGAGGGCCGCCGCGCGCCCCCGGGCGACCAGGGCAGATCCCGATAGTTCGAGCGAATGACGCCACCGGCAATGTGAAGGGGCCCCAGGACACACAAAGAAATACACACAAATGAGCATATTCCCCATATTTTCCCATATTTTCTGTGCTTCTGTCTTCCCCCCCACTTCCTATGTTTTCCCATAGTTTCAGGGGAATCGAGGATTAATTGTGTCTGTGTGCTTTTTCCTCTCCTGACAATGACCCGCGCGCTTGCAGCGGGAACCGACAAGCCGGCCCCCGCCGATCCAGGAGCAGAGTCCGGCAGAGGCGCGGCGGGAGCTCCCCAGAACCCAGGAGACCGCAGCAGGCCGCGAGCGCGCGGCGCAGTGCCAGGCTGGTGAGCCGCAGCGGCGGTTGAGGGGGCGGTGCGAACCCGCCCCTGCTGGGCCGCAACAGCATCGCTGGAAGGGCGCATGCCTACTCCCTCAAAGCCGCTGGGAACCGCTGCGCCCAGCGCCAGGACACGCGGCTGATAACCACACATGGCAAAACCTTGGAATTCACGCCAGAGAACCCCAACCAGAAGGGCGGTCGGGCGCGAAAGAACCGCGAGCGACACGGGCTCGCCCGCCTTCATATCGGCAAGGCCAGGGGGCGGGCAACACCGCCTGACGTCAAAGGACAGCGGCGCGCTGGTTAAACCATCCGGCGCGGTGCCAAGCAAGGCGTGAGGCGAAGCGCCAGCCTCCAAACCAGCGAGACCTGGAGGTGGCCCGACCTGCTCGACGACAGGAAAGAGCACCTCGAAAGCTGAGACGGAAGGCGGCAAGCCGCAAAGCAGGGCCTTAAACCCCGGCGGCGGGCCCGTCCTCAAGGCGCGCGGCTGCCATGGCAGCTCCAACCCTGGAGGGGGTCAGAAGCTGGCGGGTGAAGGCGAGGCAGCGTTGGGACTGCCCCGCGGCGGGGTGTTCAGAGCTGTCGCGATGCCTGCACACATGCCGCGCGGGCCGCGATGACGGCCGCGCCACGCCGCGGACGCTTGCGAAGAGGCACAGGGTCGACCGACCCTGCCGCGGCATGCGCAAATCCCTGCGGGGCCGCAGCAGCATCGATGGACCACACTATGACAATGGCAGGGGGTGACCCGGAAAGCCCCCCCCGCGGGCGATGCAGCCACTGCATCGCTGAAGCGCACCGTGCCAACCGACGGGGCAGACGCATCGGATGAAGCCGAAGGGTCTGCGATGACAGCGCGGGAGCCGCGTCGCACGACGACGCAGGTGAGCCAAGACGAAGCAACGACGGGAGGGAAGGGAGTGGAGTGGAGGTGGAGGCTAGAAGGGTCCACCCACTCCGACTCCTCCGTCCCGAGCGCAGTTGTCTTCTGAAGGGGCCCTGGGACACACAAATAAATACACACAAATGAAAATATTCCCCATATTTTCTGGGTTTTTGTCTTCCCGCCCAATTTTCTGTGTGTCTGTGTGTTTTTTCCCCTCCTGATCTTCGCATCGTCGAAGCCGCCGGCGGATTGAGCCGCGCGGGGAACTGACGGGCGGCGCGGCGGCACTGGGCGCTTCGCTCTGTGCGGCGGCTGGCCCGTGCTGCGGGGGAGCTCGCGCGGCGGACGCGGCGCGAGGGGCGTCTCTGCCGCGGCGGCTGTGACCTTCGAAAGGCGAGCGCACGACCTGTGCGCAGCAGCGCCTCGAACGTCCGTGGCGAGGGCTCGCACTGACCCACGGTGCAAGGCGTGGCGCCTCGGAGGACTCTCCAGGACAAGCAGCGGTATCGGTCTCCTTTCCCTCCCCCTTACGATGCGACGGCGCGGAAAGCTCACGACCAGAGCCCCAAATCCCACCTTCCTGCCGCCTTTCCTGAGCCGGATCGATCCGTGACGGCCCTGGGTCCCGAAACGCTGCCACCTCGCCCGGCGTAAAAAATGTGCCCCGTGAGGTCGAGGCCCTGGTGACTCTCGGCGGAGCGGCGGCACGCGGCGCGAGCGCCTCGACGCTGACGGACCACCGCAGCTCCGCGGGCGCCAGCGCGGCGAAGCCCTCCTCGAGCAGCCGCGCGCGCACGCCCGCGCAGGCGGCCGGGGCGGCCACCGGCGGCGGCGAGGCCGCGAGCAGCCGGGCCTGCTCGGCGGGGTCCTCCGCGGCAGCGGCGGCGGCGGCGGCGGCGGGCTCGCGGGCAGCGGCAGCGGCCGCGGCAGCGGCGGCAGTGGCAGCGGCGGCGAGGCCGCGAGCAGCGTCAGCGGCAGCGGCGTCAGCGGCAGCGGCGGCAGCAGCAGCGGCGGCAGCGGCGGCAGCGGCGAGGTCCCGAGCAGCCTGCATGCGGAGGCCGCGTGCTCCACGCGAAGGCGGTCGAGGCTCCAGACCCCCTCGCGTCGAGAAAGATAACGAGACAATACCCCTGGAGATCCTTGCCAGGTCCAGGGATCGTCCAGAAACGACTCGGGATGGGAACAAGGTCCCACGGAAGAGGTCGAGACTCCTAGGGGGTTACGTGGCTCCAGTCATAGCTTGTTGGCACAGAGGAAGCCGAACAGGCCCGCTGGCTGGTGCCCGGCACGCAGCCGCCAGGCTGCTGGGACGGGAACAGCATCCCGCTTATCCTCTCTCGCCTCTCTCTCGGGGTCGAGCTCTCCAAGGGCCCACGTCGTGAAAAAAATCAAAAAAAGTCGGGGGACTGGGGCAGAATATTCCGGCGCTTCTGCTTCACAGCCGGGCCTTGACCGGAGAGGACATGCGGAGGACACGAGGCACCTCCGAGGGCCACGCTGCCACAGGATTGCCGGAGGCGCGGGTCGCCAAGCACAGGCCACGAGGGCACCGTGGATCTGGCAGGGTCGAGCTACCAGTCGGGGCCGACTGTGTCGTGCCCGCGAATGGCACCTGCGCATCGCCACCGTGCGAGATGGCCAGGGCTAGGCACGGTGGCGCACGGCTGCCTTCTGCGCGCGGGGAGGCGGCCTCGGGGGGGCGGGCGTGCGGGCACGGTTCGACGCAGCCCGAGCAGACAGTCAGATCGGACCACGGGGAGGGTACCGATTGACAGTGAAGTCGCATCCACGCCTGCTTAAAGATAGGAGACCTGTTGGCGAAGAGAGTATACTTCACTCCGTACGCTGTCTTAAACATTAGCCCAGGTCCAGATCTACTAACTTTACACGAAAGACAAGAGCCTCGGGAACACGCCCAGGGTGCAGTTCAGAGTTTTGGTTTTCTTTAGAGAAACCTGGAGTCCAGGAATATGGATGTTGACTTTTTGAACTTCTGATAGGTGTAATAAGGGTGCGCGGTAAGAAAATAACGCGAATGCCATGAAAGGCCATGTTGTCGTTTTTCGCACGGTGCTTGCCAGCGAAAGTCGCCGAGGATGGGCCGAAGGGGCAAGAATGCAAGGGTAGCCTTGGAGAGTTGCTCGTCCGTACTATGCGACTTGACTGTAAAACTTGGAACGTACTTGGGGCGGGACTCTTTTGTCTCACGGCAGCGTCCTCCACGTGCAGGAAGGGGCAGAGGCGCCTCCAGTAGTCCTCGGCGGCGCGCGCAAGGGGGGGCGTGGCGAGGAAGGCAGCGTCCCGAAAGGGTAGAGGGGTCCTCTCGGACCCCCGCGAGAGCCTCCCCAGAAGGCCCCCCCCCTCCCAACCCTGGTCCGACCCGTCTCTCCCTCCTCTTCGTCTATCGCTTTTGCCCCCACCCACCACCCCCTTTTCCTCGCCCGCCTCTTACGCAACGCCCAGCTGAGGGAGGGGGGAGGAGGGAGGAGGGGGGATCGAGGTAGGAGGGAGGAGGGAGGAAGGGAGGGAGGGAGGGAGGGGGGGAGGGAGGGAGGGAGGGAGGGAGGAGGGAGGGAGGGAGGGAGGGAGGGAGGGAGGGAGGGAGGGAGGAGGAGGAGGAGGAGGGAGGAGGAGGAGGAGGAGGAGGAGGAGGAGGAGGAGGAGGAGGAGGAGCTCTCTCTCTCTCTCTCTCCCGCCGGGCCACCCGCTCTCGCCCCCCCTCTCCCCACCCCCCGAGCCGCGATCCGCTCACGACGGGTCCCCATCGCCCCTCCAGTGGCCCACCCTGTGGCTGCTCTTTTTCGACGTCGTGGCATCTTCGCCGCGTCGGCAGGCTGCTCTCGGCACGGCTCGGCTCGGCTACTGGGGCGTGCGGCCCACGCGTACGAGGCGACCAAACGTGAGCACTTAGACACCGAGGCCCAGTGCAGGCGGCAGGGGGAAATTGTTCGACCCCCTGGTGGGGGAACCGTCGGGCGGATGGGGCCCCACGGGCGCGGACGCCCTCCGCCGGCTGGCTCGGTGCAGCGACGGACGCCTTGGAGAAGAGGCGGGCGCCGGGGCGGCTCGCCTCTTCCAGCACCTCCCTGTGGCCATTCGCAGCGCCACGGCGCGGGCTGTGCTGCGTAGGCACACAACCCCCCCGGCTATGGAGGCGCGCCGTCCGTTGCTCTCAACCTGCTCCGAGCGACGATGACGCCTAGCCTTCCTCGTCCCCCTCCTCCGTTTTTCCGTCTCCCTCCTCTTCTTCCACAGACTCGGAGTCGTGATGTTTTGCGGCGCGGTGCCCTGTCCGAGGTGCCCTGGCGGGATAGCGCCCCCCGCCAGGGACCTGCAAAACATCTCCCTCCGATGGGCACCGCGCCCAGTGTTTGTCAGCTGCCCCTCCTGCCCGGCCATATTTTTTTCGGCGTGTGTTCCTCCTTCCCTTTTCCCCCCCCCTTTCCTTCTTTCCTCCCGATCCTTGTCTCCCGAGGCGGGCGCGCGCGCGCGCCTAACGGTGGGGGTCGGTGGCTCAGGTCCCACGGCCGCGCGCCCGCTTCCTCCGCCTTCCGGTTCCTCTCCCCTCATCCTCCCCCTCTCTCCCCCTTCGGGGTATCCCCCCTAATCGTCAGGCGTCCTTTGCCGCGCTCGGCGTTTCACCCCCCCGTTCCCCCTGGCTTTTGGCCGGGGCGGCGTGGCCGGACAGGTGGCGGCTATGTTGTGTAACTTATACTTGGGGGCCTTGAAGCACGCAGCCCTCCCCGGGCCACGCCCCGGCCGCGGTGACGAGGACCCCCTCGAAGGGGGCTCTGCCGCCCAGCGCCCCCAAGACGCCGACACCGCCGCCGACGCCGACGCCGTCGACGCCGCCGACCCCGCCCGACTCGACGCCGCCGCCACGCCGCGTGAGTCGGGGGGAGCTGCATGAGGGCGGAGACAGACAGAAAAAGAGAGAGAGAGAGAGAGAGCAAAACAAAAAAACAAAAAACATGCAGTGTCCGTGGCCCTGTTGGGTCCCACGGGGGCCCTCTTAGAGCCCCTCGGGGCACGAGAGGTGCACCTTTTTGTGAACATCGTTCAACCGATCCGTATCCCCACCAGCGCCCCCCATAGATGGGAATATAGGCTGTTTCGCTCGGGCTTACAAGGGTATATCCCCGATTCGAATGGTGGGGTGGTGGGCATAGGGATCGGTTAAACGATGCTGACTTCTTCACCGCCCACTTCCCAGACAGATCGTGTCCTGATGTTTTCAATGCGGGGCCCCCAAAAGTCCCGGCCCATTTCCTGGGGCCGGCCTCTCATCCTGAATCCTGCTTGGCGTTCCCGCGGACTGGCGAGGGCCCCCGAAGCCGAAAATTGATGAAAACCTCCCGTCGTGACTTTCTTACGACGCGAGCATGTCTAGGTTCACCGACACCCCCTGCACGAGGAGGAGGAGGAGGACGAGGAGGAGAAGAACGAGGAGGAGGAGGAGGAGGAGGAGGAGGAGGAGGAGGAGGAGGAGGAGGAGGAGGAGGAGGGGGGAGGTGGTGGGGGTGGTGGAGACGTGGGGGCCAAGTTCAACTCGCGTTAAGCTCAGGCGGCCCCTAGAGGAGATACGGAAGCCAACGAGGATAGGAACACTTACAATCCTCTCCCCCCGCAACCTACGGCGCTCGGCGCAGCCTCTCGCTGCAACCGAAGCCGCTTCGGCAGGGGCCCCGTGGGTCGTCTTGCACTCTGGCTGGTCGGGAAAGGCGGGGTTGCCCAGTCACGATGCGAGCCCCGCTCCTGTCACTGCTAGACAACTCCGAATTCGAACGAATCGAAGGAAGGAAGAGGAGGGGGAGGACCAGCACAACAATACAGGGACGTGCGGCGCGCCTGACTGGTGATGGACGATCACCAAGCCACCTGTCGTCGCAGCGTTTAGGGTCGCGGTCACAGACCACGGCTGCGACGACTGCCAAGCCGCTTCCTAGCCCTGCCCCCACTGCTCCTGCTCCCCGCTCGGCTGCGACACGTCCCGGCCGAACCTAGCCACACTCATGGGCGCCTCGTCGAAGACACCAATCATCTCGCAATCTGATCGCACTGGTCAATCATGAAAGTAAAGCGGCTATCTGGGTTGCGGCTAGCGGTGAGTCGAACTGCCTCGAGTTCATCATCGCCCTGCACAGGAGTGTTCAGCTGATCGCGCTGCAACTTGAAAAAATCGAGCTGACTGGCCACGCGAACGTGCCCACCTATCATGCTCGAGTGGTGCTGGCGAAGAACTGCACCCGTCGATACATAACACTGCTGGGCCCTCTCGATCTTCGCATTGTCAGGCGCAGCGTTCCTCCCACGCGACGGCGCAGCCTTCAAGCGGATCGGGATTGTTGGAGCCGACGTCGCATCGCTCGAGGCTGGGGCCGTAGCTGCCACCAAGACAGGGGTCCTGGATGAGGCCATCTCAGTCTCAGGTGCCAGTCTGGCACATTAGGTAGCCTTCGACGCCGCAGCTCGATAGAGACGGCTATCAGAAACAGAAGCATAGGGAACCTCCTCTCGACATCGATGCATTCGACTTCTTCGTGCATCACAAACTGATTGTCCAGACATGCGATCATACTGTAATGATAAGGACATTTGGTGCTGAACGGATTCTACTGCTCTGTCAAGAAGCTGCGCTCTCTCCACCCCGCTATCCCTGTCGCATACAATTTAGCAAGTTCACGAGGGTCTCGGGCAAGGTTCTGCGCCGGCATCATCACGCCCTCTGGGAATTCCTCAACTGGCGCTCCACTGCTCGCTGTAGCTCGGCCCTGGGCCTCACTCCCGTCGGCTCGACTCCCCCCGCTGCGATGGGGTCC